AGACTAACACAGGAACAAAAAACTAAACACCACATGTTCTCACTCTTAAGTGGGAGTTGAACAATGAGAACATATGGACACCAGGAGGGGGACATCACACACCAGGGCCTGCTGGGGGTTTCGGGGCCAGGGGAAGGATAGCATTAAGAGAAATGCCTAATGTAAATGACGGGTGAAGGGATGCAGCAAACCACCATGGCATGTGTATACCTATGTAACAAACCTGCACATGTGTCCCAGAACTTAAAGTATAATTTAAGAAAAAAAAAAAAAAGAATGATAGGAAGAAACTAACAGATCTTCTAAAAGGCTTGATGGAAAATCAAAAAAGCACAAATGTATATGCTGGAAAGTGTCAACTCAAAACTCTAAGCCCCCCTACCAACTGACTGGATCATCGCTTCACCACAGAGACCCCAGAATAACCTTAAAAACAGTCATTGGCCATATAACTTAGTTTATGTAGTTGAAGGATGGGGGATCACACGCCTCTCGTTATCTGCACCCACACTAACCACTATGAGGCTTTCTTTCCTAAAGGCTAAACAGAAACTGGCCTCTTCGAAAGACTCCACACTGATGCTGACCAGCCGCATGACTGCCCTCCTTTTTCCCTGATAACAGACCAACAACCACCGCGTGGTTCTGGCCCATCTATAGAGGGTGCACAATGACGATTTTTGTGTCCTCTGCTTCAGCTTTTAACATCAGCGGGCCAAAAACACCACGCTTGGATCATGCTAACAAGGTCATTTTTTGAACATGGATCCCATGAAGAGCAAAAAGCTCAATTGTGCATGTGCATGGTTCTCCTTCAAAAATATTCATGGCTGGGCACAGTGGCTCATGCCTATATCTCAATGCTTTGGGAAGCCAAACCAGGAGGATCACTTGGGCCCAGGAGTTCAAGACCATCCTAGGCAACACAGGGAGATCCTATCTCTACAAAAAAAAAAATTTAGAAAATTACACAGGCTTCGTGGCACATACCTGTGGTCCCAGCCTTTTAGGAGGCTGAACTAGGAGGATCACTTGGGCCCAAGAGGTCAAGACTGCAGTGAGCCAGTGATCAGGCCACTGCACTCCAGCCTGGGGGACAGAATGAAACCCTGTCTCAAAAAAAGTAACGAATTAATTATTTCTAAAAGTCATGACTCTTCCTATAGCTTATTGAATCTGTGTATTTGGCCACACTGTTCAGCACAGATTCCTGAATTATTCTGCCCACACTCAAAGGGTCTGTTTCCAGCTTCTGGCCAGAGACTACACTTCCTAGCCTGTCAGAATGGCTACCTTGCAGGCTGCAACACTTTATGAGAAATAAACCTCTCTTCTTCCAAATTTATGTACCTCATCATTCTTCAGCTGACAAAAAAAAAAAAATGTTGAGATAAATTGCAAATGAAGACAAAATATCTTTTTGGCCAAGTGCAGTGGCTCCCACCTGTAATCCCAGCACTTTGGGAGGCTGAGGCCAGAGACCAGCCTAGGCAACATGTCTCTCTCTCTCTTTTTATTTTTTATTTTTTCCACAGGAGGGAAAAGAGCCCATTAATTCTGCATGGAGACATGACAGAATTTACAAATCTATCAGACTTGTCACTTACCCATAACTTAAGAAAGAACAGCAGGCCGGGCATGGTGGCTCATGCCTGTAATCCCAGCACTTTGGGAGGTTGAGGCGGGCAGATTACAGGCACATGCCACCATGCCTGGCTCTGACCAACATGGTAAAATCCTATGTCTACTAAAAATACAAAATTAGCCAAGCGTGGTGGCATGTGCCTGTAATCTCAGCTATTCAGGAGGCTGAGGCAGGAAATTCACTTGAACCCAGGAGGTGGAGGTTGCAGTGAGCTGAGATTGTGCCACTGCACTCTAGCCAGGGCAACAGAGCAAGAGTCTGTCTCAAAAAAAAAAAACAAAAAAGAACGGCAAAATGGCTCAAGTACAATGAATGGAGCTGGAATCAGACAGCCCAAAGAGTGTGCTATAGACATGGGTGCCTTCCCACTGAGGCACAAAATTTCTTTGACACATTATGAGGTCCTTTACTGTGAGTAAGAAGGTTTCCTTTTCATCCTGTGCTGGGGCAGGACTGTGTCTGAAACACATGACAGGATCCTCATAACACACGTGTCAATAAAGGCTTTTCTGTGTCACGGCAGATGTGTTTGGGCCACCCTCTGGCAAACCCCAGGTCAGTTCTGTGGTTTCCACTAGTGAGATCTCTGAAAGTCAGGATGTTCTTCCTAGCTCTGGGGAGTGCCCTGCAGGACACCCTGGTAGCCATGTTCTTCGGCAATGCCCACAATGGCCACCAGCACGAATGCACAATTCCCCAGAGACACTCCTGCAAGGTGCTACATATGTGAGAATGACTTATATGTGACGGTACATACAGCACAGGAGCATATGGAATTGGAATTTGCAGATCAAATACTCAACAGTGATTCCCATGGGCTTTGATGTGTAATTTTCTAGGGGGATTTGCTTTTATGAGGCAGCACTGGAAGGACAACAAGAGTCACTCTGTAGGGGTGAGGAGCCTCACTCTGCCACACACAAGCGCGTCCCTCTGGAAAATTACACGTTCAAAACCCATAGGGATCACTGATGAGTGGGTTTCTTTTCTTTTTTTTTGAGACAAAAATCTCTCTCTGTTGCCCAGGCTGGAGTGCAATGGCACAATCTCAGTTCACTCAAGATGAAAACTCACAAAGTAGTGTCTTCATCTTGCTTTCTTAAAATGTCTTTTATTTATTTATTTATTTTTATATTAAGACAGGGTTTCACCATGTTGGTCAGGCTGGTCTTTGAACTCCCGACCTCAGGTAATCCGCCCGCCTTGGCCTCCAAAGTCTATTTTTTTTTAATTGAGACGGAGTCTTGCTCTGTTGCCCAGGCAGGAGTGCAGTGGTGTGATCTTGGCTTACTGCAACTTCCGCCTCACTGGTTCAAGCAATTCTCCCTGCCACAGCTTCCTGAATAGCTGGGATTAAAGGTGCCCACCACTACGTCCAGCTAATTTTTGTATTTTAGTAGAGAGGGGGTTTCACCATGTTGGCCAGGTTGGTCTCAAACTCCTGACCTCAGGTGATCCATCCGCCTTGGCCTCCCAAAGTGCTGGGATTACAGGCGTGAGCCACAGCACCCAGCCTTACTGATGAGTGTTTGATCTGCAGATTCCAAGGATCTGCTCCTCTCCTGTGCGTACCTTCGTGAGGCATTCCTTTACTCCATATACATTCGCACTTCTTGACTTCTTTTTTGAACCAGTTATAACGTCTGCCTATTTCTCTCTTTAATGAATAAAATAAAGTATGTACCACTTTTATATCTGTATAAAAGTCATGATTTCATCTTTTGCTGAAATTTATCTTTTAACACTGTAATCAAACATTCCCTTCCTGACATTGGCAGTCAGAGAAGTAAGACACAGGTGGTAAAGTGTGGTGGAGTGTGGTTTTCCTGATTTCATGCCCTAAGGATTTAAATAACTCACAAGTCAGACTTCCAGGCACAACGCAGTTCTCCAACAGAAATAGCGAAAACAGATTTTGACAAGCAAAAGGGACTGCTATAGTTGGGATTATAGGATTATTATAACAAGCAGGGAAGTTGAGGAATACATTCCTAGAAGCTTTAGAAATTTAGAAATGGGGCCGGGTGCTGTGGCTCACACCTATAAACCCAGCACTTGGGAGGCAGAGGCGGGCAGGTCACGAGGTCAGAAGTTCAAGACCAGCCTGGCCAACATAGTGAAACCGCATCTCTACTAAAAATACAAAAAATTAGCTGGGCATGGTGGCATATGGCTGTAATCCCAGCTACTCAGGAGGCTGAGGCAGGAGAATCGCCTGAACCGGGGAGTGGAGGTTGCAGTGAGCTGAGATCGCGCCACTGCACTCCAGCTTGGGCGACAGAGGGAGAATTGCCTCAAAAAAAAAAAGAAAATTCAGAAATGGAAGCTACGTGGAAGCGCATCCAGGGTTCGGGGTTACAGAGGACCCCAAGGTAACACAGAATGGTGGTGTCTAACGGGAAAGGCATGAGGCTTTTCCTTTGCTGGTTAAACACTGTAGGAACTTGCATGATAACTGATTTTCAGTCTTGCAGGGAAGGCAGGACCAGTACTTATCCTTAGTCAAACGTCTCCAAACCTTCATTTTTCATCAGCCATGCTTGTATTTTCCAAGTGTCTCTGGCTGAGACAGCATGAATTACGAAGCGACCTGGATAAGCACACACTGGCCTCCGCAGACAGGCCAACCACGGCCCTGTGTTCTGCTTTTTCCCTGGCTCTTTCCAGGCCTGGATAGGATTCCCTGGACACCGGCGGGGCTCCCTTCTAACCACTTTATTTGAAATGGGCTTTGAAAACAACAGGTGGCATCTTCCATCAGCGAGTGGACATAAATCTCAGTGCCCAGTGTTTCCAAGGCCTGCCGAACCGTATGGCTGTGGTGTAAACTGTCCAGTCGTTCTTGGCAACACCTACCCAGCATCTAGGATGTCCCACCCTTAGAGCCACAGACCCAGCCCCTCCCTTCTTAATGCCCACCCTAAGGAGAAGCTGTCGCATGTGGATACTGATTTCAATGCGAACATGCTCGGTTTTTTCATAGTTTTATATTAGTAAAACTCTACAACCAGAATGTCTCACTGTAGGAAGATAGTTACAAGGAGCATTAACGGCATGGAGGGAAGGCTCCTCCGTGCTACATGGCCAAAACCAGTGCCAGTCTGCATACGGCGTGATTTGCACTGTGTCTTTAGAATGCATGGCGAAACGCCAACGGGAAAATGCCGAAGTGTAAAGGGCGGCTGCTTGGGACGCGTGGGAGCATGCAAGGACAGCGTACCACTTTTAGGAAAGTCAGCTTCTGAGAACGGGCGGGAGGCTCCGCACCCGTGCAGGCGGCAAAGCCCTTCTTTGCCACAGTCAGAGTTCAAGGGAGCGGGGCCGGGGCTCGCGTGGCCCGGGGACGCGCACGTACCTTGTCCCGCGGCCTGAGGCTGCGCTGCCCCGCGCGGAGGGAGGCCGAGCCCGGAGGAGGGGCGCCAGGGGGACGTGGACGCGGCGGCCGAGGGCGCGGGGATCCCGGCGGGGCCAGTGGCTCCACTCGCAGTCGTAGCCTCCAGGGAGAGCCGGAGCCCGGAGGGGGCGGAGAGGAGGAGGAGGGAGGCACTGGGGGAAGAGAGGTCTGCGAAGTGGGGGAAGGGAAGGCCAGGAGGGAGGGAGGCGCAGTGGGGAGGGGAGGAGAGAAGGGAGCGAGGGAGGTGTAAGGGGAGGGGAAGAAGTGGGGTGATCAGAGGGTGGGGCCGGGAGGTAGAGGGAGGAAAAGGGAGGGAGAGGTGGGAGAGGCTCCAAGGTAAAGAAGTGTGCAGGGAGGAGGAGCCGGAGGGAGGGAGCCGCAGAGGGGAGGGAAGAAGAGAATCAGGAAGCGTGGAGGGAGGAGGCAAGGAGGCCAGGAGAAGGAAGACAGCCAGCCTTCTGTGAGATTTACATGCGTGCCTGGCTTCCAAGACAAGTGACTTACGATATAAATCAAAATTAAGCTATTTTTTGTTTATTTTATTTTAGAAGTAGCGCCTTATTCTGTCACCCAGGCTGGAGTGCAGTGCCACAATCATCGATCACTGCAGCCTGAAACTCCCGGCTTCAAGTGATCCTCCCCACTCAGCCTCCCAAAGTGCTAGGGTTACAGGTGTGAGCCACCATGCCCAGCCCCAATTTGCTTTTTTTTCTTTCTTTTTTTGAGATGGAGCCTCACTCTGTCACCCAGGCTGGAGTGCAGTGTCACGATCTTAACCTCACTGCAACCTCCGCCTCCCTGATTCAAGTGATTCTTCTGCCTCAATCTCCCCAGTAGCTGGGATGACAGGCACGTGCCACCACCCCAGGCTAATTTTTATATTTTCAGTAGAGACAGAGTTTTGCCGTGTTGGCCAGGCTGGTCTGGAAATTCTGACCTTAAATGTTCCACCTGCTTTGGCCTCCCAAACTGCTGGGATTACAGGCGTGAGCCACCATGCTCAGCTCAGCTCCAAATTAACCTTTTTTAAAAAAAGAAATTAATACGCGTTTCATACTTGCCTGCTCCTTCGTATTTTGTCTGGTCATCCGACCAAGGTTATGATAACAGCTTCAACTTGGCTACAGAAGCACATGCCCGCCCGTGGCTCACCCAAACTGGAAACATACAGGCAAAGGGAATTCTAGGAATATAGCTCATCCTGGACAAATGGGTGCATTACCAAGCTATGGCACCGTGTGGCCACACTTCCTGGCCTCTCCTCTGTAAAGGTGTTGTTATGTCTGTGTCCCCTCCCAAATTTGTATGTTGAAATCCTAACCCCTAGTATGGTGGTATTTGGAGGTGGGGCCTTTGGGAGATGCTTAGGTCATAAGGGTGGAGTCCCCAAGAATGAGATTTGTGCCATTACTAAAAGAGACAAGGGAGCTTGCTTCCTCATCTGTACGCCAGGAAGAGGACACTCACCAAGAACCGAATCCTACTGGCACCCCAATCTCAGACTTCCAACTTCCAGAACTATGAGAAATAAATGTTGTTTAAGCTACTCAAGTCTACCTATGGTGTTTTCTTGTTTTGTTTTTTTTTTTGTCATTTGAAACAGTTTTGCGCTGTTACCCAGCCTCTGTTACAGTGGCGCAATATCGACTCACTGCAACCTCCAACTCCTGGTTCAAGCAGTTCTGCTGCCTCAGCCTCCCAAGTAGCTGGGATTACAGGCATGTGCCACCATGCCTGGCTACTTTTTGTATTTTTAGTAGAGATGGGGTTTCACCATGTTGACCAGGCTGGTCTTAAAACTCCTGACCTCAGGTGATCCTCCCGCCTCAGCCTCCCAAAGTACTGGGATTATAGGTGTGAGCCACCGTGCCCAGCCTGGTGTTTTTGTTATAGCAGCCCAAACAAACTAAAGCAGGGTTTTCCTGCTAGAGATACACTAATTTTCTTTCAAACAGGATCTTTCAAAATCTAGTCTGAAGCATCTGCAGTTGAATTATTTTATGAGCTTGAAATTTCTCTAAAATAATGGGTAGGGATTTTTTAAACACCAGAATAATTAAAAGAATTTACCAAAGTGTTATTACCCAGAACAAATTAAGAGTCAGTCCCAAAGAAAAATTGAGACAGGATCTCACTGTGTCACCCAGACTAGAAGCCAGTGGCACAATCATGGCTTCTTGAAGACTCTACCTCTCTGGGCTCAGGTGATCCTCCCACCTCAGCCTCCAAAGTAGCTGGAACTATAGGCATGTGCCACCACACCCAGCTATGGTTTTTTTTGTTGTTTGTTTGTTTGTTTGTTTGTTTTTTAGAGATGGGCTTTCGTCATGTACCCAGGCTGCAGAAAAATTCTTCTTTCCATCCTGCAATGCACAAACTGCTTGTGACATCCGAAAGGGCAGTTTTTCAACTCCACCAATTTTAGTGCCAAATTCCACAGAACGTTCATCCCATAAAAGTGAATATTTAACCTAGGCTCTTAAAAAAAATTCAGTTTCCTTCTTATAGAAACGCTCAGTGGAAACAAACACTAAGATTTCATGGAGTTCCCTATAAATTAAAGAGCTACGACTCAGCGTTTACTGCTCATTACCCCTCCAAAGTTAGTTTTATTTTTCGTTATTAAATAAGTAAATAAATTCCGAGGACAGAATGAGTCCAAGCTGAATTAACAAACCAGGCAAGGTCAAAGTTAAACAAAATTGCTGACTCTGCTCAAACCCCTGTGATTTACACTGACCTTGAAGGCAAGGTCAGGAAAAGTATTCCATGGAATTTTTCCTCTAAAGACACTTGGAACAAAATCAGAACAAGTGCTGCTGTGTTTCAGAACGTCTCAAAATAATACCTGAGGCCAAGCATATTCTGCTATCTGTTACCATTTCCTGGCCCTGTGGCTGACTCAGCCTCCAGCCCTCTTCTCCTCAGTGGAGCTGCGGTGAGCCGGCTGGGAAAGTGCTGAATCCTGTGCACAAGGCAGGCACTGCTGGTGAAGACAGGTGAGAGGCTGGGTAGCTAATTTCTAGAAGGTTCTTGAGCACCAGTCAGCCATTTTGTCATCCCCAGGTAGAAAGCTTAAATTTGCTTTTTCTTTCTTTCTTTCGTTTACTTTGTATTAATGGAAATGTACAAATATATAGAAAGGTAGAAAAAGAATACAATTAATTCCCATATACCCCAGGCCTAAATATAATTATCTTTAATATTTTGCTAAACTTGCTTCATCAATATTTTTTTGAAAGCATGGAAATTATAGACAACCTGACATTTCACCCCCTAATAATTTTGTAGTAGTCAGCCTCCAAGATGACCCATAATGTGCCTTGCCTCTGAGAATTCACGGCTCTGTAGAAAATAGACTTAGTGATGGTGTGTTAGTCCACTTTCATGCTGCCAATAAAGACATACCCGAGACTGGGCAATTTACAAAAGAAAAAGGTTTGATGGACTTCCAGTTCCACATGGCTGGGGAGGCCTCACATAGTGGAAGGCAAGGAGGAGCAAGTGACATCTTACGCAGATGGCAGCAGGAAAAGAGAGCTTGTGCGGGAAACTCCTTCTGATAATACCATCAGGTCTCGTAAGACTTATTCACTATCACGAGAACAGCACGGGAAAGACCTGCCCCCAGGCTGGGCGCCATGGCTCACACCTGTAATCCCAGTACTCTGGGAGGCCGAGGCGGGTGGTCACCTGAGGTCAGGACTTTGAGACCAGCCTGGCCAACGTGGTACTAAAATGCAAAATACAACATGTACTAAAAATACAAAAAAATAGCTGGGCATGGTGGTGGGCACCTATAATCCCAGCTACTCGGGAGGCTGAGGCAAGAGAGTCACTTGAACCCAGGAGTAGGAGGTTGCAGTGAGCTTAGATCATGCCACTACAATCCAGCCTGGGCAACAGGAGTGGAACTCCACTGCCCACATGATTCAATTACCTCCCACCAGCTACCCCCACAACACATGGGAATTCAAGATGAGATTTGGGTGGGGACACAGTCAAACCATATCAGACGTTATGTCTCCTCCAACATTAGATTAGAGGAGACTCTGGGACTTCCCCTTCTCTCTTCTCTCGCTCTCTCTCTCTCTCTCTCTCTGTGTGTGTGTGTGTGTGTGTATGTCTGTGTGTATGTATGTGTCTGTGTGTGTCTGTGTGTGTATGTATGTGTCTGTGTGTATGTGTGTATGTCTAGCTTTCTCTCTCATCACATGCTCTAGGGGAAGTCAGCTGCCAACCATGGCTTGAGTAGCCTCTGGAGTAAGGAAATCTGTGACCCACAGTCATGTTCCCGGGCCATCCCGGACAAGAATCCTCCAGCCCCAGCCAAGTATCAGATGCTATAACCCCAACACTTTGAGGTGCCAAAGCAGGAGGATCACTTGAGCCCATGAGTTTAAGACCAGCCTGGTCAAGGTAGTGAGACTCCGCCTCTACAAAAAGGTAAAAAAATTAGCTGGGTGTGGTGGTGCATGCCTGTAGTCCCAACTGCTTAGGACTGACTGGGAAGATCGCTTGAACAAAGGAGTTCAAGAGCAATAGTCTGACTCTGGTGCTCAAGGGAGTACAGTGGCACAATCTTGGTTCATTGCAGCCTCAACCTCCCAGGCTCAAGTAATGCTCCCACTTCAGCCTCCGGAGTAGCTGGGAATACAGGTGCAAGCCACCATGCCCAGCTATTTTTAAAATTTCCTTGTTGAGAGAGGGTTTCATCATGTTGCTCAGGCTGGTCTTGAACTCCTGGGCTCAAGCTATCGGCCTGCCTCGGCCTCTCAAAGTGTTGGGACTACAGCACCTGGGGCCAGACACTTTTATATGAGCAGATCTTATGTGAACTTACAGCAAGATCTCACTTATCACCAACAGAATGACTCAAGCCATCCATGAGCTTCAGCATTTGAATCACTCCCATGATCCAAACTCTTCTCTCACACCAGGCCCCACTTCGAACATCGAAGATTATATTTCAACATGAGATTCGGGTGGGGACAAATATCCAAACTGTATTAGCAAATAATGCTACAATTAAGAAATGGCTTCTAAGCAAAGATCAAATGCAGGGTCCTGCCAAAAAACTGTGGTCCAAGATGAATCCCTAGGTGTGACTGTAAGATATTCCGAAGAGATATAAGGTGGCATCTCAGAGTACCATTGAGTCAGACAAAAGGCCTGCTCTGTAAAGGTGCACCCTACAGTATCTCTCAATCAAAGGAGAGTCCATTGTCCCTCAGCTGTCTGCAGAAGCCAAAGGTAGAGAGGGGCTGGTCTCAAACAGATTTGTGGGTGTTGCATTTGTCTAATAAAGCAAACCCCAATAAAATTCACAGAAAATCCAGTTTTTAAAAGAA